CCTCCCCCCTTTCCCCAATCCTATTCTCGACACTTCTTGCCCTACTACTAGTCACACGGCTCCCTTGCTGCCACGTGCATAGTAGCTCCTGCCATCTCCTGGCGCCCCGTACTGTACTCACTTCCCTCTGTGGAGGACACGAGAGCGCCTGGCGGGTAGGCAACGCTCGCACACCGGTGCGCGCCCTCGGGGTGGATTGCCTATGTCGCGGGCGGCCAGCGGCACGGCCAGCCAAGCCAGCCGGCCCGCGGCACCCGGCTCAGGTGCGGCGGCCGGGCCGATCACAAGTCCGGGACCGGCCTTGACATACGGTGACCCCGGCCCGCGACTGCCGCCCGGCTCCGCCCGGCTCGGCTCACGGCCACGCGCCGACCAAAAGTGAGCCGTTCGTCACGATATGCCGGCGGCGCGGCTGGCTCGCGGTCCCGCCCGCCGCGCCGGCCCCCGGCCCCCGACCCCCGGGACCACCTCCGCCTGTTTTCGAAAACTATCGATCTCTCCTGTCGCTGGAAAAGATAGGCCGCCGGGCGACCGGCACCACAGTCGACCTCGCCTCGCATAGGTACCGACACCGACCCCCTGGTCGTCCTCCGCGGGCACGCCCGGGTACCTGCCGTCACCCCCTTTCCCCTCTGCTGCCCGACCATCCGGGCTGGAGAGCGTAAAAGCGGCAACCTGTGGGCCGGGAGCGGGCGGGACGGGGCGGGGCGGGAGACAAGTGGGTCACAGTGCGGAGTCACGAGCCCACCGTCTTGGGAGATGACACGCAAAAGGAGGACCATTAAAACAGGGTGAGAGCGGAGAAGTGTGTGTGAGAGAGAGACAGAGAGATGGAGAGTTCTCTGCTCCGCTTGCGCTCAGGTTGGCTCCTGGCTCCGCCCCTTCGCCTGGGCTGCCTGCACCCCCTCTCCTACCCCTCAGTGCCGGCTGGGTCGATAACGTGCCGACCGAAGCCCCGCGCGCCCCGCGCCCCTCCAGGCCCCACCCTGCCACCCGCACTACGCGGAGCCACGCCGCGCCCTCCAAGAGCCCTCCGGACACTTAGGCCCCTCGTCCTAGGACCCACAGGCGGAGAGAGAGAGAGAGAGAGAGAGAGAGAGAGAGAGAGAGAGAGAGAGAGAAGAGTATCGTGACCCCGTACCCCCTGACTTGCCCCTAGCCCCCATGTCTTCCTCTTTCCGCTCTCTGCTGTGCTTCAGCCCCATGGCGCCGCATTCTTTGTGTGCATCCATGGGTGAAGTGGAAAATGACAATCCGCGCATACATAAAACAAAAAAGCGGATGCTATCTGGTTGCAGGGCCGCAAACTGTAACAAACTCGGCAGTTGGCCGCGGGGTGGTGGTGCTCGACTTGGCGGTCCGCTTTATTTTCCGCGCGGGAGAACTTTTCTTGAGCAGACACCCGCCGCCGCATCCACGTAACTGTGAAATGCGTTGCTCGTCTTCCCTCTCCAGCCGTTTTGTCGGCCCGTTGCCCTGTGGCTCAGTGGTCCTGTGGTCCTGTGGCCCTGTCACGTAGTGGCCCTGTGGCTCAGTGGCCCTGTGGCCTTGTGGGACTATGGCCCTGTGGTCTTGTGGCCCTGTGGTCTTGTGGCTCTGTGGCCCTGTGACATTGTGGCCCTGTGGCCCTGTGGCCGCATGAGCAGACGGACGCGCTCACTGTACAGGCCCCTGTGTGTGCCACAGGTCCGGTGAGGTGGACCACGAGGCCACCCAGCATCATCAGCATCAGCATCATCACCACCATCGCCACCACCATCACCACCACCACCACTCGTCCCAACAAGTTGACAAACGTGGACAAAAGTCGTGAGTACCAAGCGGACCAGCCCGTGGTGACGCCTCGCTCGCTCACTTTGCACTGCTATGCCCGCTGCGAGTCGGATACAGATGACAGACGAAATACGGGAGACGATATTTGTTGAGCGATGAGAAATTCATCTGAAGAAAGAGGAAATAAAACACTCGAAGGAAGACCACTATTGACAAGGAAGCGGATTAAGCACTAATTGGCCAACAACGAAAACATGCATTTTGTGGCAAAGCGTTTTGTGTTCTTGTCAGTTGAGGAAGCTTGCTGAATGACGCGTAGTCCTAGGGACAGTATTTTCTTTTTTCCTCTATCGTTTGTGCAATGCAACTCTTGGTCTCGTCACGTACTCAGCTTAGCCCGTCTTTTTGCCTGTCTGCCTGGCACCTCTTTATATTATGACTTTTTGCACCATCTCTTGTGCCATTCTCTTAATGATAAGTCGCACAACATGCAATCTCTTGCTCATTTTCTCTGTTTCTTAGATATATATTTGCCCGCATGTTTTTTTGTTTTTTTTTTAATATTATCAGTAAAGTTAAGCATTGTACGGGGGAAACAATACTCGCGAAATCGTATAATCAAGCATAGGCGAGCACGAGAGTGAGCATATCAACGGTGGTATATACGCTTCGCAACTGAATGGGCGAGGGCATTTACCCCAAAGACTGCACCCCAACAGTACTTGGCATTATTACGGGTGAAATTCCATCCACGGAGCGTCTGCGGGGCTGGGGGGCGCCAGCTCCCGGCCCCGCCGGCCCATGGGGCGGCAAGGCGGCCAGCCAGCCAAAGCTCATGGCATGGTAGACAGACAGTCGTGCCACCCATACACAACCATCAGCCAAGTGACTTGCAGTCGTGTCGTCGTCCTTTTGGTCTTAATTGAAAAAAACCGCCACGTCTATAAGGAAAATTAAAGTGTCATGGCATTTAATGAAAGAAGAAGGGATCAGTCACACGGTTGTTATTTATCATTCGCTGCGCTGAAAATGCTGCCTAAGTCGCTTGTCTCTCGGAAACAATGCCGCCTGCGATATATTTTGATTAAAATAGGGGGGGGGCAGGACCAGGGTATACGAAGGGAGGAAAAGGAAAAAGGTCCGCCGAGCGTGCGTATGTGTGTGTGTAAGGGGGGGGGGGGTGTCTGCTGGGTGCTGGGCCCAGTTGGCCGCGTGCCCACTACGCGCTGCCGGCCCAGGCCCAGGCTCCGAGGAGACCGTGCCCGTCTCCGCGGTGCACCAGTGGCGCGGCGGCCCAGGACGGAACGGGACGGGACGGTGCGGTTGTCCTGTGCGCGCGCGGGGGGCCACGACGACGCAGGGCCAGCCGAGGCGAGCCGAGCAGCTGCACGACGCCGGGCAGACGCGACGCGACGGGGCGCCGCTGTTGGCGGGACGGGTTCAAATCACTTTTAGCGGTCCCGCGATGAGTGTGAGCGAGGGGTCCCGGTGCACGGCAACGAGGCCGTGACGACGCCGTCGGAGTCACCGAGTGTCTGTTGTCCGTCGCGTCGTTGTGAGAGCGTCGCGTGTCGTGAGCCCCGCCGCGCATGGTGGCTCGGGAGTGTTGTTCGGTCGACCTCATCCCCTAGAGGTAAAAGCGCATAGACTAGCAGGCGGCGGCGTAGGCAGCCGCAGCGGTGCCCCCCGGACTCGGCGCGCGCGACGGCCACGTTTCGTCGCGGAGGCCGCGTCTGCCGCGGTCGCGGCCTTGTATGAGAAATTTAAAGAGTCTATTATCAGGCGGCCCGCGTCACACATTATCCCCGAACGCGCGCGCTTTCCCGACGGGGAAGGCTAATTTTACACCTCGCTGTGCGGGGTGGGGCGGGGGGCGCGGCGGGGCGGGCTGCAGGGTGCTCACGGCGGGGAAGCTCACGGCGGCACCGCCAGGATGTCGCTCCTCGGCGCTGCTGTCAGGGAGCCTCGAGAACACACCTGCGGGTCTTTAACGCGATAGAGGCGAGGCTGATCGCAAAACGCCTCGAGAGAAAAGGGCCAACAGCCAGGCGGCGCCAGGGCCGCCGCTGCCGCCGCTCAGGTGCGCCGTGTCGAAGCCCCTGCCGTTCTCCCTCTTGACGTGGCTGACGCGGCCGCGCGGCCCCTCTTGCCCGCGGCCTTGCCCCGGTCGCGCCCCCCGCATAGGCAGACAAAGTGCTCTGTGATTTGCTTAGCGGCCGCCGGGCCCGCCTAGTAATTATCGTGTGAACTCGATAGTACAGCCGCGGCACACTGGGCTGGGCAAGACCAGCTGAGCGGGGTTCATTTTCATTTATGACTTTTTCAAAAGAAAGGAATATAACGTGTGACGTAGTTGACGTCACGTAGTTGACGTCACCACCGCAGCGGGGGGTCACGGACACGTTAAAAGTCCCGCGTGGTAGGGAGGGGTGTTTTTATGGGTGTTTTGAAGCCAATGCGGTGTATAAAAGGTGCAGAACAAAGTTTTGGCAACGTGACGCGTCTGAAATCAGACGTCACTTCATGAAGGCCAGCCTTGTTCCCGACACAGCCTCTGCCCCTTCATATGCCCCCCCCCCCTCCTCCCCTCGTTTTACACACACAACACTCACACACACAGAGGCACAGACGTGCGCCGCTCACCTAGCAGAATGCTCTCGGCGGCAGCTCTGAAATGTCGCCAACAGACGCAAATAAACTGCCTGCTGCTCGGGCTTGTGTCTGTCCGCGTGTTTCTTTTTAATCGCAGCCTGCTGGTCCACTTTGCTCCTGATGCAGTGCGACGCGCTGACCCGCCGCCCGCTTTGTTTGTAACGCCCCTCTTTGGCCTAGGTCGGGAGTCGCGACACATGCGTATTCATGAGGTTCTCTCTCCGCCCGCCCTCCAAGTGAACCCGTCGAGTCCACGCGAGGACAACGCGAGGTGCTTGGCGCCGCGACACGGAAGTGATTAGGCGGGGCCGAGGCGCCCGAGGCGCGCGCCGGCCGTGTCGATGACACTGGATCGGTTTATTTCAGGAGGGGTTGACAATGGCAGTGACTGAGAGCGCGTAACGATGGTCGATCCCCCCTGGGGGCCGTGGGCCCCACTGCCCCCGGCCGCCCCCGGCATGTGCTGGCCGCCG